ATATTAGCTTGTAAGAATATGTAATAAATAACTAGAAAATGCAAAAAAATAAATAAATTACTTTACTAAATTACTTCAGAAATGAACCCCAAATTCAAAACAGTCAACTCAATAGCTAAGAAAGAAACTTTAACAATATTTTAAGCTTTACCTGTATTTATTGTCAAATTAAAATTAAACTTTCTACTTATTCTTCTGATAATTAAAAATAGTACATTTGAAGGTATATGCTACTAAAGAAGCAAATTGATAAGTATAAGTTTGTTCATATTTACTTTCACTTTGGTGATACCACAATATTGTTCTAAATTGGGAACAGTATTTTTGACAAGGACCTATACTAATATAAATGAAAACCAGCAACAAAAATAACTAGCTATATATCTTTTTAGAATACTTGTATTATGCTTATGGCAGGCATGGCACAAAAATGCAGAATCAAACAGTGACCTTTATATAATAGTGTTCCATAAATATTTCATTAATACTACTACTAATAATAAAGCAACATACGTTGGAAGATACTTGGTGTGTCTGGTATATTTTCTCTTGTTTGTGCAGAAGTTTCTGGCTGAGGTATAGGAACTCTACAAAAGATGAAATGAGAATAACCAATAGTTATAAAGAGACTTCAATAGAAAAATTAATTGGTCGATTAAGAATTTTCTCTAGTTCAATAAATTTAGAAAATACGTAGGTTTATTTTCTTAAAATGATGCATTAAAATGTAAGAACAATACATTCAAATGATGGACAAATATCCATATATTGTATAACAATTCAAATACTGCAATAGATTAAAATATTCTTTTAAGGATTATTCCACAAAAGGAAGTATTCAATTTTATTAAATATCAACTAAAGATAGATATCTACTTCATATGATAGGAATTTAAAAATTAGTTCTATGGCCTATTTTCATGTTTGCTTTGTTCAAATATTCTAGAAAACTATTTGGCCTAACTCTTCAATATTTATGCTTTTCTTTCTGCCCCTTTTCCTTTGCTTACCTCTTAACCTTCAACATTTACCTCAGGCATTATCCTATATAATAAAAGCCTAATATGCTAAGTGTCCAGTCATCCAGTGACTGGTTGGCTGTTCAACCAATCAAAGCATAATATGTTAATGGTATGCTATGGTTGCTCAACCACTTGCTATGATGTGCATTGACCACCAGGGCGTAGATGCTCTGACCAGTAGGTTAGCTTGCTGCTGGGATCTGGCCGATCAGGACTGAGTGAGATGGGCCAGACATGCCCTGGAGCCCTCCCTCGGTCCCTCCCTGGACCTGACCATGCACTGGTGGGGTCTCTCGGTCTGGTCTCTGCCCTTTCACAATCGAGGACCCCTCGGGAGATGTCAGAGAGCTGGTTTTGGCCCAATACTGAAGGCCACTCCCTTTGGGAAGGCGCCAGACACAAGCTCATGGCTGGAGAGCACTGCTGTGGTGACATGAGCCTCTCCCAATCGGGACTGATTAGGCATAAGCCCGTGGCAGGTGCAGTGGGGCTGGGATGAGTGGGAGCGGCAGGTAGGAGCTGCAGTCAGTACTGGACTATGGGTTTTGGTCCAATCCCCGCAGGCCACCCCGAGGGAGACCCCACTCATGCACGAATTTGTGTACCAGGCCTCTAGTTTCCTATAAGAAGCTATGCTTGATCTCTAGTCAAGGCTCACTGCTCCTTGTGTATGCTCTCATAGCACCATGAAAAAACTTCTATTATAGTATTCATCACACTATTTTAAAATTAGTTTATAGGTTTGTCTCTTCCACCTGATTCTCTTATAAGTTCGGCTTAAAGTGTTACAAAAGTATAAACTTCATTTTATTTATTTTTGTATCGCCACATATTATCTTCTCACTGTTTATTGAAGTGAAATAAAATGAATGGAGGAAAGGGGAAGCATTTTATTTTGCAGCTGAGGAGAAGCCTGCTTTTATAAGGAAATATTTCCACCTTATGGGTTTTTAACATATTTCTGCGATCAGATTTTTCTATTGTATTTCCAAAACTAAAAGCATGAAAATCAGAATTGTCATGTTGTAGAATGCCACATAATCAACTAAAGATGAATATATACTTCATATGATAGGAATATAAAATTAATTCTATGGCCTGTTTTATTTTTTTAATATATATTTTTATTAAGATATTACATATGTGTCCTTATCCCCACATTACCCTCTACCTGTGTTTAGAGTTTTGCTTAGTTTAAATTCTAAATACCCATGTGGAAATTTATTTGTTCAAGAAGATAAGGATGTTTGACATGGTCTATACAGCATAAAAATGTTTCTGAACACTGACCAATTATTGTGGTGTCTTGTTTATAGGTTTTGGTAATCGCTGTGGAAAACCCAAAGGACCAAGAGGTCCCAGCTCAGCA